GGGCGTGGCTCATCACATAAAGGTGTATAACATCTCAAGGGTTTCACCCATCACCACGCAACTTTGTAGGCATATGACCACACATAATCTGAGGGGACCCCTCCATTATTGACCCCATCAAACAAAATGGGGGCGCTAGAGAGCTCATTTCTTATCTAGGCCTAACCGCCATATGGATTTTTACTAAACTTGGTAGATATGTAGAACAGGACGCCTCAAGGTGACTGGAGAAATTTAACTCTAATTGGCAACTGGGTGGCGCTATAACAACAGAAAAATGCTTCAAAATGGCTAAAATGCGACCGATCGCTGTGGCTCCCCCTGTGGACCAGTGTTGGGTGGCAATTTTTTCCTGTATTTGACAGGACAGTGAAGCATGACAGAAAGGATGGGAGAGAGAGAGAGCAAAGAACGAAGGCGATTTCAAGCCCCACTGCTGCAACAAGGGCTAGCCGCACCTTTCCCATGTGAACTACCCGTGCGCCCCACTTTTAAGTCAATACAACATATAAACACTTTAACTATCTGCCTTTCAACGTGCTACCTCAACTACTAATGTACAGTTTTAGCCCACTAACTATCCCACTATTGGCAATGGTACTACTGTACTTTCAATAAAGCAATCGTACTATCACATTCACAAACACTCTGTCTGAATACATTGCTCTTCTTAATGGGTTCAGTTTACTATTTAATCTGCAATTTCCTATGACCTGTATCCCAAACACACACCATGTGAAACTGTACATGGGTAACTGTGCACTCAATGGGTATGGACTAGTGAATTATAATTCTTAATCTTTCACTGCATTGTTTTGCCTGCTACTCATCCCGCAGCATTGCCAACACATTTGTAGAAATACATCAATATGTGCGGACTGACTGACCTTTGTTATGCTGCACCGGTAACAATAAATCACATGTTCGCCTCATCAGTGATGGATGAGGCTTCTGATATCTGGTCAAAAGGTGGAATAGGTGCGCTACCTGATCTCTACAGTGGAAACAGGATTGCCTCCTTTGTACACCTATTAAAGATATTTCTACAGGTATTTACAAATTAGAGGTTTCATGGCGTCTAACTCTGCCTGCCTGCAATTTAAGAAACAGCTTGGCAAAAAAATTATAGAGAGAATTTACTCCTCTTCAATATGCCTTAGGCACACTGTTGTTCAGTTTGAGATGGTGCATCGTCTTCATTGGACCAAAGACAGATTATCTAAGATTAAGACAGATGTCGACCCTACGTGTGATCGATCGAAGCTCCTGCCACATTGATACACATGTGTTGGTCATGTCCTAAGCTGTACAACTCTTGGCTAATCTATCTTTGAGACAGTCTCTAGAATTTGTGGGAAAAAAACAGACCCATTGATCACATTATTTGATGTGGTTCCAGTGGATGCCACACTCCCTGGGTGCTGTATAAATATGATGGCCTTTTGCTCTCTGTTGGCCAGGAGGCTCATTTTGTTCAATGGAAGGATGCTCTCTGCAGGAGTCAGGTTAATTTCCAGGGCTGGTACCTGCGGTTATTCCACAGGCTAGTTAATAACATGTCGGGCAGGAAATCCAAAGTGTGGGATCATTTTGAGAAGGTGAAGGACGAACCCAAGGTGATATGTAAACTCATCTTCATTGGTCGACTACAAACATGACGTATCATCTGAAACATGGAAGTAGCTACATGCCCATTAGCCCACAGCGTCATTAACAGGCGGCTCGCTCAGTGTGTGACGTGCACTTGGAGATAAAATATAGGCCTATATTAATGAAGGTTCATTAGTACGGTTTGTATTTCTCTGTAATGTAGCACAGTGTTAACAATGTTACTGATACTATTCTTTCTCACACCTTCAACTCAAACCACCAAAATATATCATTTAATCATTACATTCATATCAGAAACATGCAGGAGACTAGTCCACTGACGGACCCTGATGAGGACTGTTGGTCCACTAGGAAAATTCTGAGTTGGGGGGCAGCCCAACTTGATATAAACTAACATTGTTAGAGACTAGTAAAAGCCAGCTCTGCAGTTCAAACTTCAAAAGCACGAAGGGAGACGAATGTTTCAAATGCAGTTTGAATGGTAAAAATCCGTTGAGCCTCTGTGGAGATATCAACGTCTAAAGTCAAGAAAAATGTCTTGTCCATAAATCAGAGAGCACAGGAGGAACACATGATGATTTAACATCAGTGGGCTGTAGGTTGGTGATTGTCTATGATTTAAACATGCTGACCCAGGGATACACACACAGAACATTTGACCTGGGGAAAACACAATTGCTGAGAACATAAAACCCTCTGAAATGTGTCCTTAATGTGTCATGTTAAGAGATTATTGAGCTGAGGAACATTGGAGCCTGAGAACATAGATACGCTGCTACCGATTTAATGATTTAACGGTTCAGCGGGTGGTGTGGTCTTCGTTAGTAAACTACAAATGGACCCCAAGTGGAAACAAGAACACTTTTGATACCAAGGTCTTGTCTGCGTACACATGCAGAATCTGTTCATAGAGGTTAGGTAACAGGTTGACTGTGACGTTTGTGTCAGTTTCCGTGTCTCACCTGGAGAGGAAGGCCTGGTGATGTTTGATGGTGTCCAGCTCATACGTGGAGGAGTCGCTGCGCTTGCGTGGAAGTTGTTTCTTGGGGTCATCTGGCCCTGAGCAGCGAGGGATGTCGATATTGCTGCGGCTGAGATGGCGGCTTCCTTCAAGGGACGGCGAGGACGGAGAGACGCTGTTGATGACGATACCTGGAGAGAGAAGGTCTGTGTCCTGATGGATGGAGAGAACAGAAAGAGAAACAGGTGGTGAAAAGTTTTTAAATTTTTTTATAGTATTACGTTTTAAGACACACTCGCAGCTGTGGGAGTGGAACTGCTGGTCAGTCCTCTACTTTGGCCCAAACTGAAATATTTCTGTGCTGCCTCGCGGAGCTGCTAGCGTGACTGTAGCCTCTCAGTGCTGTTTAAGGTCAGAGAGTTGAGACTGTTACCTGTACACTGATGGCGCTGCCCCGTCTGCTGCTGTTCTGGCTTTCTGACACCGTCACCGAGCTGCTGCACAGAGCATCAAACCCCAATATACCTCCAACACAGTCTCCGATAACACACACCTGCATTAAAGCACAAGAACACGATTACACATGAATCATCTGTTCATGAGTCATCAAACCACCAAAGGGAAGATACGGACCTCTAGGTTACACACTGACCTGCCCACTAAATGACGCTCCCTCTAGAGACTTGATGAAGTCGCTGTACACCTGATTGGCTCGTAAGATGACGGTTGCCACGGCGTCTTGGTACTGCGGTGCAGAGGTAGCCAAAAGAGGCAGAGCAGCCAGCGGGATGTGGTCCTGGCTGCTGGACAGGCAGCTCTCGTCATAGCTGTAGGGGCTGAGACTGCAGAGCAGAGAGGGCGTGCTGTTATCTGTCTGTGAATGTGTTTAACATTTACACAGCCGGCTGTGCGTGTATTACAGCAGGTTATTTAAACACTGGGTTGAATACTAAAGAGTAACTGCTCACTTGGAGACTAGTGAGAATGCGTCGACACACACAGCAGGACAGGGGACCATCCGGATGGCAATGCGGCCCAGCGCTGCGGGGTAATGGACCCTCATCACCGTCTCAAATGCTCCGCTAAGCGTGTTTACATCTCCCTGCTTGTTGTTCTGCTCACCTGCAAACAAACAAAATATTTTATCGCAGTACTCTCGAGTCAAACCTTCTGTGAGCCTTAAATATAATTTGCATTTGTCAACAAGCTGCAGGTGCATTTTCTTTGTCATTCTTAATCTTAAGAGGCCTGATGGGTTAAAGGAATATAAGACTTAATCAATGCTAGGAAAAACTAGAATTGCCGCCCGCAGTTTTATGGCTCCGCCCACCTGTCCAGTTTCTCCTACAGTCTCCATCCATGTCAGTGAAAACACGGATGCTTCACACACAGAAGATCTATACAATCAGCACAGTGTCAAGATTAGAGTCACCAATTCAGTATCTGACCAAATGTCTCCCCTTCTGTTCCTGAGATATGACAGTCAAAGTGGACGTTTGTGTCAAAAAAATTCCCTCAAGGTGTTCTGGAGAATGGGATGGATGGATGGACATATACAGTAATAATGTTAGTGGATTTGGATGTAGCTGTACCAGAGCCGGTGTCCAGAATGTTCCCTCCATGCAGGACCAGAACGAGGACGTGAGTTTTGGACGGCTGGAGACACTGCTGAGTCGAACAGTCCTGCAGGAAAGACGACAGAAGACGGACAGGATGGAAACAGGAAACAAGGTTAACAGGGATGAAGGAGCGAGCAGGTAACAGGAGAAAAAACAGTTGTAGAGAGTTGTAGAATTATAGAGGAGTTATAGAATTGTCACTATATAACAGTGTAGAAATCACAGTCACAATTTGAGTGGGGCAAGTACTTGCACAGGTTACCGTATGAAGGATTCATAATAGCAAAAAATCAAGGAAGAAGGATTCGCACAGGTTATTGTATTAAGGATTCATACAGGTTGGAAGGATTCATACAGGTTGGAGGGATTCGTACAGCTTACTGTACAAAGGATTCAGACAGGTTACTGTAAGAACGATTGTTACAGGTTGCTGTATGAAAGATTTGTACAGATTGCTGCGTGAAGGATTCGTACAGGTTACTGTATGAAGGATTCGTTCAGGTTGCTGTATGAAGGATTCGTTCAGGTTGCTGTATGAAGGATTCGTTCAGGTTGGAAGGATTCGTACAGGTTGCTGTATGAAGGATTCATACAGGTTGGAAGGATTCGTACAGGTTACTGTATGAAGGATTCGTACAGGTTGGAAGGATCCGTACGGGTTACTATATGAAGGATTCGTTCAGGTTGCTGTATGAAGGATTCGTACAGGTTGGAAGGATCCGTAC